GGCAAAAGCCTCGATCCTGTGTATCAATCCGTGAATCCGCTCGTCCCTCATTGGCTGCACGTCATGTCGCCCGTTGCCTTGCCCTGTAATCAACCCTCGGTCCTCATTGGTGAGTACAAGCAGCACGTCTCGTTAACGAGATTTCGAAGTGTAGCTTCGGCTATCGTCGTTCTTGCGGTGAGGAATGATGAAAGAGATATTCAGCTTTCCACTGGAGGTACCCTGTTTACCTCACTTGCACGAGCTGTAGATTCTTGATGGTCCGTCTGGTGAAAGGAACTTCGAGATGTATCGCGCTGAAAAGCGTTCTTATATACAGGCGCCTCTAGTGGATCCCAACTTTGATCCAATGGTGCGGCGTCTCATGGAGCCTTTCGAAATCAACTTTGAAATGATCCACATGGTCAGTTATATGAGAAAACGTGCGTTTCGCTTTTTGCACAGTTTGGTCCTAATTGTGTTAAACAGGCGTCAACCCGCAAGAATTTGATTGTATGAATTCACCTGTACTGTCTTCGGAATTTTGGCTTCATCGTCTGGCTGAGGTAGTGGATCTTTTCTCCTAGTCATACCGTTATTCCTCTGATTAGGGAAGTGAAAGTCAAGGTGCCAGTACCCACCCGCCGTAAGTTCGAGTCTTTTCTGATCCGCAGGCCACCATATTGACGTGTTTTTTTTAAATCCAGTTATCCGACGTTTAGTGCATGAGAACCAGGTGGATGCTTAGTTTCTGTCAGTCCATATCGTTTTCTCGGGCTGATGCCATTACCACAACCTCGTAGACAATTTCTTGTTAGTTCATCACATGCAAATCGGACCTGCACGATAAATACCTCATTTTCGACTGTATAGTCGCCGAATGGCGCGGTAGGTATCACTGATTTGTGTCAACAACACTCTCATCACATGCATGTGGAGACCGTGTAAGTCTCCGGGAATCATATTTAAAAAACGTTACACCCTACACAGAGGCGGAGAGCGACTGGAACAAACTCTTAAAAACGGCCGCAGAGCATACAAACCAAATCAACGTTCTATTCATTATTAAAATCCTACAGAGCCTTTCATGAACTCCTCAGGGGTAAAAAAAAAGAGCGAAAAAGTTGTGGTAATAGTGATATTCGTTTTCTCGGGTACATCTCATCAGAGTCCGAAGAGCTGTGATGACTAGCATTCGTGCCAATGCTATCGCAGTTCGGAAAGGAAGTAGATCTGCTGTCACAAGTTTCGTATAGGATAGAGCCAACTCCGATTGATGGAGCATTACTAACCAGTGTGGAATATTCTTCTGGAAAAATCATTATTGCCGCGGTATGCAAAAGCGTTCAAGAGGTTGAACGAAATATAATAAGAGCTCTACTATAATAATCAGGGCATGGCGTCTTTATTGTTACTTACTCAGGCTCGCATCCAATAAAGTGGTCGAGATAACTGTCAGCTCCATTCCCAACTCGCTGAAGTAAACCAGCCTGTATACTTAAGTTGAATCGGCTATGGAATATCCATAACCTCCGGTTTGAAAAGTTTCGGGCTATCCCTGAGCTTATGATGAGGCAAAACTATGCATTATGTCAGCACAAAGTTCACATCGTAGAGTACGCCTACAGTAAATTGGGTCTCGTTTGTACCGGTGAAAACATGCACCTTTTACAATTGGGTCTGCAGTATGAATACACCACCATCACAGTACCGTAGCACTCAATCAGATTTGCACTACACTAAGGAACCTGTCGTTAACGATAGTGGTTGCGAAGTTCAAAGGATGTCAAAGAACTCTACCAAGTTGTTAACAGAAGGCGCGGTAGACCCAGCGGAAAAGTAAGGGGTAGCAACGGGGAAACCAAGAGAGAATAATATGAGGCCGATCTGCTTATGTCAATTTCATGGCGAAATTAGGGCACCCAACAAGTTGAGAAGTGAAACAGCGACCTTGTTAGCAGCCGTCAATGTCGAAACTGATGATCTCGGTAGGTGTGGTATTCTAGTCGGTACAAATGAGTACCCTTGGGGCTTCAATCTATCAGGAAGCTGAGAACTGAAGTTCGCGTGGTGATAAAAACGAGCTAGCTGGATTGTATCAGAGCTCCATCAAACGCCAACCTCTGTCCTGAACGGCTCCAAAATGCGAGTAATATAACTGCCTAAGCTCCCTTCGAATTTGTTGTTGATAAACCAAGATGTAGTATGCAAAAGATTACCCATGAATTTAAATTTTAAAATGAGTGGGGTGGTTTTCTTTCAAAAAGTAGCGACCAAGGTCATACATGAACGGTCCGCTTGAGATGCTTCACTTCAAATTGTACGTCTATCCCGTACAAAAACGGACCAGAATACTGTGCAATCCCTATATGCGAATCAGGCAGCAAGCATTCGAGAAGGAAAGTCTGTTTTGGATAAGGTATTGCTGCTTCAATCAAACTGCGTGAGTAAAGCATTCGACAAACCGCATAGGCCGCTAGCCACCGATTCATACCGTCTAGGGGGCTCTGCTAGAACGAGCCTGTGGTACCAGGTAGAAATGGGGTCCTCAGAAGACAAAGGCTGGACCTTACCGGGGTGCGACCGTGACACCACTGAGCTATACTGGGTGGTGTCCGTGTGACACCTGCAGTGCCAGTGGTTATAGGTCCGCCCAGCAGTTTCCTGTTGGGGGTGGGAGCATGTTCCATAAAAATGATAATACTTGACACTGCTGCCTCGCGATCACGCCTTTTAGTCAAATGCTTTGGTTGAGAACCCTGATCGTCCTGTCTACATCTGGGCGGCCTGGTAGTATCCTAGCCCACACACAGCCGTGACACTTACAATTAACCATACTCTCATGCTACATCCGACGTCGCGTGGTGTCACCAGCCAGGTCACCTTGCCGCGTACACCAGGGCGAATAAGCGGAAATATGCTGCTTCTGACCCCGTCTTGTACTTTCACGTATCACTTCAACCCTACCCCACCTGAATATGCTCTCTCTCTCCCGTCTAGGGGGCTCTGCTAGAACGAGCCTGTGGTACCAGGTAGAAATGGGGTCCTCAGAAGACAAAGGCTGGACCTTACCGGGGTGCGACCGTGACACCACTGAGCTATACTGGGTGGTGTCCGTGTGACACCTGCAGTGCCAGTGGTTATAGGTCCGCCCAGCAGTTTCCTGTTGGGGGTGGGAGCATGTTCCATAAAAATGATAATACTTGACACTGCTGCCTCGCGATCACGCCTTTTAGTCAAATGCTTTGGTTGAGAACCCTGATCGTCCTGTCTACATCTGGGCGGCCTGGTAGTATCCTAGCCCACACACAGCCGTGACACTTACAATTAACCATACTTACTCTCATGCTCCGACGTCGCGTGGTGTCACCAGCCAGGTCACCTTGCCGCGTACACCAGGGCGAATAAGCGGAAATATGCTGCTTCTGACCCCGTCTTGTACTTTCACGTATCACTTCAACCCTACCCCACCTGAATATGCTCTCTCTCTCCCTGAGAGGAGAGGACTGATCGCATTGTTTGCCCCGAAAACCGGCCTACTTAGTTGCAAACTGAAGCCAACAAGAAAACAAGAAGCCCTCGCTCGTACGCTGGATTTCTATGCATTGATCTATACTGTCTGTCCGAAACAAGGACGCAAACTGACTTCGCTTCGCTCTCTTCCGAATCCCCGCTGTACACCTCTAATGATGAAGAGGCCACTGGATGTGCTGGGGCAGGTATTGCATGGAGCGATCTAGCGGAAGCGTCTCTACTTAGTTGATAGACGTCTCTGCTCCCAGCCAATCTCATCCAAACATTGGATCTCTAGTAGAACCATGGCTTTGCTGGAGACCCGGTGACAGATTTCTGCTGGCCGCAATGACACCTGACGCATCATCCGATACCAGGTTAAACCGAGTGCCCGTGCAGATCGAGAGGCTTGGTGGACCGCAAAGACCGAAGAAATGGAAGATGTAAAATATGGTTCCGCTTGGTTCGTTCGACTAGTATGACAGGGCTGTCCTCCTTCACCTTCCCTCTTCGGGTTCGTCGTCGGTACGATCATGGAAGACTCGCTATCAGCCCCTAGTGTCTGTGGGGTCGAAGTGATCCCGGGTGGTCCGCTCACAGACAACATAGCTGTTTTTGGATCTGATGCCGTGGTAATGCAAACATTATTAAATAATCTAAATACTTCTTCCTCACGCTTTCGAATGCGCTTCACACCGGCAAAGTGTAAAGTGCTACTGCAAGACCAGGTTGGTTCGGAACCTAACCTCATGCTTGCGGATGAACCGCTTGAGGTAGTAGACAAGTTTGTCTACCTTGGCAGCTGTACCAGTCCCGGTGTTCCAGCGAAAGATGACATTTCCATCCGGATTGGGAAGGCCAGAGAAGATTTTATGAACCTGCGTCACCTGTGGTGTCGGCATGACATCAGCTAACCGTCAAGGGTCGAGTTTGCAACGCTGCGCTACGCCTCGTATTACTATATGGATCATAAGCGTGGCCGCTACGCGCCGAGGACGTCAAAAGACTTGCAGTGTTTGACCACCGATGTCTTCGGAGCATTGCACGAATCTCGTGGAAACGCCAGACCAACAATGATGAAAAAAGTCGAATGGTATTCAGAAGAAATAACTCGCCCACAATAGAAGAACTGGTCACACTGCATAGGTTGCGCTGGCTTGGCCACGTACTCCATATACCAGCCTACCGGCTTCCTCGTAGGGTTCTTTTTGCAGAACTAGAAGGGTGGAGACGAGCCAGGGGGTCAAACAATGACTTGAGAGCGAAGTGTGAAAGCCGTTGCCGGCAAGCTCAGCTTCACTGGTCATTGCTGTCTCCCTGGATGGGGACCCCGAGACGGGCCACATCAATGGTTAGAGACATTGTCAGACGTGGCCCAGTCGCCCCCTCAACGACGCTTGCGCATCCAAGCTATTACCTTCGGTGCATAGCTCTCCTCCCAATATCCTCAGTAAAATTCTCACTGACACCCATGTACTTACCCATCATTATATCAGCTACCACTTCCAATGGTAACCAAATATGCCATCTCCTCCAAGGCTTGCTTGTATGTTCCATACTATCCCACTTTCTGATGATAGAAACTGTAACAGCTGTAACCATTATGCCAATGGTTCACTGCTTATAGCTGATAGATTGGTTGCGCAGCTATCTACCCCACCTCTCCTAATCATCTGTGAATGAAATTGTGGCACTTATAAATACTAGGGCAAGTACGCTGTTATTACGGCCGATGTTGTGGTTGCTGTGTCGACGAAGTATTTGGGTGTTGGTAAATCCCCCAGAATAGGGTCATTGTGACCTCTCGTGCGTTTGGTAAGAAATGGTGGCTGACCGATGTCAGTGGCATTCTCGCCCTCAGTTTCTTTCCAAGCTGTGTGAATTGGAGGTATCTGCACCTCAGAATGATTGTGATAGGCTAACACCAGGTCGTCTCCCTCATCCACTCTTTTGTCTTTTTATTCTCAGGCTTTAAATAAAATCAGATAAACTTTGTGGTTGTACGGTAGTGAGGCATCAGGATCAACAGTGATGTTGCTAACCCTGATGATTATGCCAAGGAATATCCGTTAATCCGACATTCCTACCACATTTAGACGATGCCTCACAGACATCTGTAACCAATCCCTGGGGGATTTTTAATTTCCACTCGCAATAGCCAGGTTTCTTGCCGGTATAGTGGAATCGGGTGCTCTGCAACCTCCGCCTTTTCCAGATAACATTCCATGTCGGTACCAAAGTTGTGACAGTATGGCCCAACCCACCCTCACTTTCCATATTTCAAAAGGGGGGTTTAATCTTTAACAAGGCCATTCCAACAGCCGCAGCTATCTGGGCAAATAAGTTTCTCAGTCATATTGGTTGATTCATTTGCAAACAGTGTTTGGGTTTAGTCTCACAGTTCTCCTTGGGAGTGCATCCCTTATTTTAGTTAACGTTGTTTGCACTTCTATGGGTTCTAATCCCCATAGGACTGTATCCTCATTGTANCCTGCTGAATTGTAATCCAAAAAGGTGAGGTCTTATGGGGATCAATCTATGACAAACCCAAACATCAAAAAGACACCTGACAGGTGTGCTTGGTACTGCTGGGTTTGGAGCGCTAAGCCGAAATATATCCGTTATTCTTAACTCATTCGAAGGTGAAGGATCTACATGAAATTGCTCTGCGCATATCATCATGTTGGTTAGAGGGGGTCCATTACTGGCCGCCGAAAGCAATGCCGGAGAGTGAAGGCGCTGTCTCAGTTAGTTTGTCATCTGTAGAACCTGAGATGGCTCTTTGGTTAAAGTGCGAACCCAGCTCTGGCATTTTGATTGCTTCTGTTTAGGCTTGGACAACCGGGCATTATCTCAGCCCTGGTGCTTCTGGTGGCCTGGCAGCTAGGCACCGAAACTGTTGTAGCTGAACGATTATTATTTATAATCTGTAAATCATTTACGAAGTATTCGTTGGTTATTACAGCAACAGTTTCGCCTACCGAAAACGGAATACCAGGAAATAAGGAACTAAGCGCTGGGGGCTGTCGCGTAATGGTTAATTGATTTGAAATCATTCTAGTTGTCTCAAGAAACGGGAAACCAGGCAGAAAAGTACTAAACACCATAGCTTTGATACTGGAAAGGTAATCGAGCTATGTCTATCCCTGTCCAGGGAGGCGACATTCGTTAACCCAACTGAGTTTACTGGTTGTTGCTTTCGTACTTCTTTCTCAGGTCATAGACTGCCTCTCTGTAGTTTCCACTCAGCACAGCGCCGAGCGAGAGTCCCTGCGAGGTAGGTCGTCAGACATGCGACGTACATATCTTTACCGACGTAAACCATAAAGCATGAAAAGATCGTTTCTTTTAAAATCACCTGGTCTACCTAGATGTTGCTAATCCAAGGTTCCCGCCTGGCCCAGCAAATGTTTCGGAGACATCGATGGTCAAACATTAACGACTTTCGTACGTTATTCGCACGTAGAGGTCGCGTTTCCTACCCACAAAGCAGTTTTGAACGCATCGTCACAGAGTATACTTCCTCAATGACAGACAAGCTAATGCCATATCGGCACCATAGGTGTCACTGGCTAGAAAAAACTACCCTGGCCTTTTATATTCGAGAATTGATCGCGCTCAGTTCGCCGGAAATAGCTTTATGATTACAAGTAGACAGTACGTACTGGAGAAGTGGTCGTGATCCGAATATCATTTGTATGGAGTGGTCCGTGGACCCTGATTACCAAGCAGTTGTTCAAACACATGAATTCTATAATGGGACTCCATGCTTCTGCACCCCCCATCGTGCTTAGTTGAACAAGATTAAATCTATCAATGTGTTTTTGATTTCTGCTTCAATCTCTACTCGGAAGAAATGTAGTAGTGAAGCGATATTTTTTTACCTCTTTTTAAAGTGCATCACTTGCCTATATTCTTCGCATTCTAAGATACTTTTTCATCTATTCAGCGTTGTCACTACGGAACTAATGGATATCCAGTCTACCATACCCAAAGCTGACAAGTCAACCCAGACAGGAGCTGAGACGCCTAGAGGGCGGCCTATCAAGACCCATCGAGGTCTCCCTGGTTTCAATACTATTCTTCAGTGTGGGACAACCAAGCTAGGTGAAAGCATGTTCACAGTTCCGAACGTGAGTCCCCTACGAAATCGGGATGTGAACAGAAAACAAACAAAAGACAGCTATCATTTCTTATCCTGTTTTAACAGTTTTTTTTCATAACGAGTGTACTTGCAACGTTTACCTGGCTGAAACAGAACTATACAGCGTAGATCGGAAGTATGGGATCACTCGTTTTTCACCTTACTCTTAACTGACAAGTTCATCGGAAATCGAACCTAGAACTTTCGGTAAAATCGCCCTGATTCGTTGGGATTAAAGCACCAGAGTGGGCAACAGGCGAGGTGTAAGTACGGGCACATCTCACCGCGCTGTTTGATCGCGAGGGATTTTGAGTTGGCCCTTCTCAGAACCGTTATACTTTTAATATGCATGCAGTTGACGTTTTTCTATACTTGTCTCAGAACAGCCTTAGACTTCTTTTTGAAGTCACAAACGTTTGCACATTAGTTCGCTCGCTGCGGCGAGGCCCTCTGCAGGGTCTCAGGTGTTCACAACACATTTACAAGGCGGAGAAGTACAGTGCTCCATTATACGAGGGACGTAAACCACTGCATTGTTTTGCTCGATTATCCCACCCTCCTATCTGTTCATTATAACTGCTGGTGGTACTAAGTATCCCATTGCCTGGATGTTCGCGTCAGTGTCCTAACAACCATTCAACATCGCTAATCTGCTCAGTTTATATTAAATCGTCTTCCATACCAGTCTCTTCTTAGGATATCCAATTCCCGAGACTTGCGGGTATCTGCTTGTGGCTTCCAAGCTATTGCTTGCCTATTCGGCATCAGTTATTGTCACCGTGCTAGACCAAATTCAGTGTTATTGCAGTAGTCTTGCACAGGCAGTTGCCTTCATAAACACGGAGAATTCCGGCCCAATGGATATCTCTTGTTAGTTTGGCATTCCAATCACCTCCAAACTGCTCCTTGGTGGAAGTGCGCGTCCGTTTCACTAGTTAAACTCTCCACCAAAAGGAAACAGCTAAAGTGATTGCTTAGCAAAGGCTGCAGGTTAGCATATGACCACATTGGAGCGATCCAGCAGGGGAAACTAACCAATAGATTCTTTCCTCAGAATATATCTGTTCGCCCGTTGTTGGACTCGCAGAAAATTTGTTTAAGGTTGCGCGTTTGATGTGAATGTCAGCTCGTTGCGAAACGTTTAATCAAGCAGGAAACTTATTCTTCAGGCCCCGTCGGTTGTTTACAACACTCCTACCTACGGAAGAATCGATCGAATGTTTGGCGAAACAGTTGAAAGGTATGTAGATTGTTCTAGCTTATTAGTGCTCTTGTGATTTTGGTCTGGTATTTTTGTCCACTGTGCATAGCGAAAATTGCGACAGTAAGCCAAGAACAACAACAGCTCAGTCAGGTATTTGCAGCTTGCTTGCTCTCTGCTCATATCTACTCTATAAGGGATTGAAAATTTCACTGTTTGTACCACCCTTGGATTCATCAGGCCACCAGAATTCCGATTTTTCATGAGATCCACTTTTAGGATACTGCCCGGTCTCTTACCACCTGTCCCCTTGATTTGATTGATTAATGTCAATCAATCGCTTGAAGATATTCTCGTGAATGTATGATTGTCTCCGATGACCTGTTCCTTGTTAATCTAACGTTCTGTAATCTATGAAGGACTGGGTCGTTAACCTATGTACTACTGAGAACGTTCTTGCCATCAGTTCGCTTAAATTATAAAACAGATGCGGTTTTGTTGATAGTGAGAATGGAGGAGGTTGGAGACAATGACGCACTCAGCTGCTTATCGCCAGTACTCGTGAAAGGGCACCATGTTAACGTTGAGGGTTCTAATTTCGGAATGTCCGCTGAGATAACTACACTGTAAACCAGACAGCCTCATAGCTTTGTCATTAATTACCTTTCGTTTCTTAAGCAGTGGTGGATTGATGCCTTTTCCAGGAGTTCTGGTGTTATGATCTTCGTTCGTTTCCAACTCATTCGAAACCCAACAATGAAATTACGTCAGTCCGACACCAGGCGTAATGTTGCAAGTGAACATCTGACTCCCTGGAGATGATCCTCTTTTTACTTTATATTAAATTAATTTATGCGAATGGCAAAGACAAATAGTCAACAAGGAGCTTACAGTTATTCGTTCAGATTTGCTGCATAGTTCCTGTTAGAACAGAGAGCATTAGGCGAAAGTGATAAAACTTGGAGGAGTAAAGAAGAAAAGAGGTCGAGGACCCCTTATACGCCACTCCAAAGAAATGTGTCGGTAAGTTTCTTTCCATCTTGCTGACCTCGTTGTGGCGGGTGTTTGGAGTCAGGCCGGATTCAGAAGGTTCTTCCATAGTGAGGTGCAAACAAAGAGATCTACTAACATACTAGTAAAATACAGTGAGCATGCCATTCATTGAAAGCGTAGTACATGATAAATTGTATCTTGTCCTCCTAATCGTCATTGAGTGAAGTGTGGTGTTTTCCCTCCGCAGTCCGTCACGAGTCCAAACCTTGGAGACTATTTATGACGTGACAGTAAGTTGCCCTCAATGTAGGTTGTGAATTAATGCAACAGATCAGATTAACACGCTGGTTGATATACTACATTTTATTTCGGACAGGCCAAGGAAAGCGCTACTCACGTGGTATTGAATAAACCTGAGCAACCCATGGACACCCCGTCCAACTCTACTCATCCTCTACTCATTGCGCATGATGCATCTGGAACCGATACAGTGAAGAATCGAAATCGGTCTCCTTTGGTGGACTTGTCAAATGATGTCTTCTCCTCCGGATTTCAAGAAACGACAGAGGTTGTTAGCCTAGGCTTTTTTTGCTTCGTTTTTTAGATATCATCCATTACTGTCTATGTTTTCAACCACATAGCTGTCTACTCATGATATGTTACTTCTTTGCATACACCAGTTGGTAAACTAGTTCCTATCAATTTGTCACTTGTGGTTCAGGCATTTCCTATCAGTAATGTGTGGCGTTGTGGACACTCGTTTCCACCCAGTTGTTGTTTATCCATTATTTTTTTATTTCGCAAGGTAAAACAAAGATCCGGCAGTCGAAGAATGCTATTTGAAATCTTCCACGACTCATACTTACAACCTTCTGCCACAAAACCACTCTGCCCGACATCAAAGGTCTCTGATACGTCAGCAGAATCCACGCTTACGAACCCATCTTCCTTTCATCAGTCAGTGCCCAGGGCTACAACGGTATCGTCGGTCGAGGTAAGCGGGATTCCATTGTTGAAAGATCAATCAACCGTTAAGCCAACGACAGTAACTTCGACAACCCCCGTTATGTTTCCGAACGCGGACAGTATGGACGATACGGCCGTTTTCGAATTGCTTGACTACCATTTGGCACAAGCTCAGAGGAATTCCGTGACGTCTATAAAGTCAAGTGCACGCTTTCCTCCTGCATTTTCTGTTGACTCACCGACACGGCTATTTGAACGGCTGCTTGGTAATCCTGACCCACGAACCACTCCACACAAATGACATTCAGCCTACGACCCTTTCTCCAGTACATACTGTTTATTTGTCATCATAAAACTATTTTCTGCCTTTCCTACCATTTGCGAGAACGGAAGGAACTTTAGACTTGAATGCGATCTCTGATTTTCGACCTCATTTCTCAATTTGATATAGTTCAAACATGGTTTCAGCGAGACAGTCGACTAATCACACTATGAGCTTTTTGCGTTGTTATGATTGGTTCTCGTCGAAAAGTAAACCGGCTCCATAAACATCGCCTGTCGCGGCCGCTCATGCCCTGCAAATTTCAGAAATGCAGACGTTGCTACTTCGCAGCATCGGAGACCGTAGATGGATTGTAGATCAGTGTTCGACAACGGACCTAACCGAAGACACACGGGTATTCAAGGATCATTCCTAGAACACGGCTCGATCGACCTTCTAAGGTGTTCATCAGTGCTACTTCGAAATGGTGATGTGTGTACCGAATGTCAGCTATATGGACTACTAGTTGGCGGGCTGGATTTTAGGAGACAGCATCGAAACCTGCGGTTCTTGCTGCAGATCAATAATGTATGCAAATCGCTGCAATCTGACATGTGGAGCCGGTTCACCCTACCACTGTAGCTTACCACATTAGGGTGTGAACAAGCTGCTTTTTGAACACATGGTTGAAACCCAATACGTATCATCGGAGGTATCCCAATGACTGCAAACATATTTATCTGGGTAGCTACAGGTTTTCAGATGGCAGTAATGCAAAAAAAAACTGACAAGTGGGATCTCCAAATTCGATTTTTATTTTCATCCAGCTTTGGCACGTTTTGTGAAATTAGGCTGTCGTTGAAATCATGATGGACCTCCAGATGGACTTGGTGTTTTCGAAACAAACACTATGTACTAAGGTGGGGAATGACCATTTTTTCTATTGTTACCGTCAAAACACTCCACGTGTCTTGATGAAATGGGGTACCGATGCTGTAATGTAACAACGGCGTTCTAGCAATGAATCGAGGGTACCTACTTGAGAATTTCATGCGATTTAAACAGCCCTGCTGATGTTTCCTCAGTATTTTGTGGCAATCAGGCAATCCCAGGTTCTTGCATGAATACTCAAATCAGCATATTTATGCACTGCGCAGAACTGTCCGTTTGATGCCAACATATTCATGGGGTGTTCGCAAAGTACTTGCTCCGCTGGTCGCCGCGGGCTACATTTGGAATGAAACGAGGGATGCAGATTTCACATAAGGCTGTGACCGAACACAAGGTGCTGGAAAGCTTATGGTGTGCGTTAAAGAATTGGAGTGGTGGGTATCATAATCCCCATGTTTAATTGTCTTCTATGCAGCGCTTATTTGAAAAGGGCTTGTCATCGAACAGAAGAATGATGACTCTAGGTGCAGCACCTGAACCGAAAGCATAAGAAAGGCCATGCGGTAATAGGGAGCAGTGGAGCATCGGCGTTCAGCAGTATTTCGCTTTCAAATGACGAACGATTGACAGAGCTGAACTACTAGGATGATAAACACTTGCTTGAGGGTAAAGTATATTAGTAATAGGTATCATAATAAATTGGGAATATGGTACAGATGACACTACCATAGCAACTTGCCACTATGTGTCCTCCTTTAAATTATTGGCACGAATGTCCGTTATCCGAAGAACGACTACATTATCCTGAAACACTAAATGATAAGTAATTAGAGAGACCATTAACCGAGCGAACCTCGCATTCGCCTGTGACGTCGTCGACGATGGAACTGGAACCAGAGTTTCGGATGCTCCAATGTTTTTTCGACCACCTGTGCCTCAACGTAGACCTGCTGATTACTCAACAAAGGACGCCCAATAAGAGTGAATTCATTTGATCCAAGGAGAAGAACCTTCTCCAGACGGATGCGATCGCCAACTTCCGTACCAAACAGCGGGGTTTTCACCATGATTAAATCGTCCGTTGTAACTTTGAACTGTTTGCCAGCAAGATGCACCACGGCAAAATAACGCGAACGGTTTTCAGTGATGGAGGAATTGACTGAATTAATTACACCTGAATACAATCAAATGGAGGGCAGAGCAGGTCACAGCGCAAGTTACAACTTTTGAGAAAATTACTTTTGGAACACTAAGACGTGGTGTGAACGTAAACTAATAGATTTCCAACGGGTGCCCCTGAAGTCACCGTGTTTAGACATCTCAGGAAAATGCACCGGTCCAAAGTTCGTCCAGTACAGACCATAGCGCTTGTGCCATTAATCCGAAGGGTGACAAAGATATACGTAAACTTTAGCCGCCAAATTATCGACACAATATGATGGATTAGCCTGGAAGGACGACAGTATCCCGTTAACAGAAGCCAGGGCATGCGCATAAAATAGGAAATGCTTCACCATAAGACTTACGCAAGAATCGTGCACAACCATGATCAGGTGTCATGTGAAACCCAAAACGTTTTAGTGGCCCGAGGGATGTTGTTGGTATGTGAAAACCCGATCACGCCGTTGTTCCCCGTTGTGGGCTCAGGAGAGTACCTGTGAATAATCAACTTAGCGCCGATTCCCAACCTTGACTATGTGTTAGTCACATTCAGTCCCGTATGTTCATGCAAGCATTAGCTTGAATGAAGTCTGGTTAAGCCAGGTGTTCATGATGCAATGTTAGTTGCATATCGCGTAAAACATTTCACGCAGAGAGAGCGGGTTGCCACCAAGGAGTACTGATGCTTCATCGCTTGAGACCAACAGAGACACGAAAACTTCACCATCAAGATTCTTATTGCGAATACTGGTCGGTCATCTTTTTACCTTGAGCTCATCACTTGTCGCTAGACTCGTTACAAGATATTTCAGGTGAAGATGTCTTACCAATCGAGTTTGCTGTTCTGCATATTTCGCCGGTTAAACCTAATACTGTGGAACCTGAGAGCGACTATGACCCCTTGAAAATCGTGGTAAGCGCTGCCAGCACAAAAGGCTCTTCAACAACCGGAAAATCTCAGCCATCCTTCTCAAGCTTTACGGAATGTCTTATTACAGTCTTATTTACAGTAGATTGGAGGTAGCACAACCAGGGCATTAGAGTGCTAGGATATTGCAATTTGAGAAGGCACCAGCCAAAAAAATTGGACCCCACCAATGCCATTTTCGCAGAGTGACAGCCATCAACCGAAGCGTGGGTAACGAACGGTTCAGCTGACGCGTACCGCAAAACGAGTTAATTGCGTTGTTTTGAGGGATATAATGCATCACAGGGATCCAACAGTTTTCGATGATTTCTTAATGGAAATGACTGATTTGTTAGATCGGCATCAGTTCAATCTGGACGTGAAACGCGAACAGAACGGCCTTGGCACCCGAGGCAACGAAGCACCCACGGCCCCCATAAGCACCCCTGAGACGTCTTCCACTGCTTCCAGATCAGACACATTTCGATTAACAATTCATATTAGCCCCCAATTTTGTGCGATAAACTGGTTGATGGGGAACCTCACTGTGAGGTCTCCAGTGAGGGACGTTTCTTAGACGAACAGTTATAACTTATGTAAGCGATGAGAGGCCCCTACAGATAAAGCGAACCTAAAGAGAGAAATAATGAAGCTGAAACATCTGGATTCAGTTCATAGATTCAAAATACCAAAAAACTCACTTTGCACAAGTTTTTCGTCTACAGGAACTTCTGGTTTCGGAAGAACAGTATCAATCCTAAGTGTGAAATGGAAGTGTTTATATTACTTCTTACATTTCCTCCTCAAGCAAAGTGTAAACTTTTGGGATTTTATACAAGACTGGTTTACGCGGTGTATTGCGGCGAATCCAGTCCTGATTGGTTGAGGACATATGAATGTTTGCACATTGTGGCTTTTGTTGGGACCATATGGCATACCGGGATAACGCAGGACACAAAAAATCCACCAGTGAGCGTCTCAACATTAGACCGGTTTTAATACAGGAACCACAGTTATCGAATTTCAACACATTTATCTTTGGTGACAATTCTGAAATGCAGGAAAGACAGTAAAGAAAACATTTCCGCTATCGAATCATTTGAAGCCCTGAGCGGGAATCCTAAAGCAACAAAGTTCATTAGGCAGGGTGTTCAAAATGACATAATAGTCTAGTCGGAGCATGTACCACTGCAAATTAAATTACGCAGCCATGCGCAAGAGTACGGCAATTCTTGTCTATGTGGCCACTGACAAAAACAGATGCAGAACATAAAACGAATAGGGGCGAAAAATCGACAAAGATCTGATGATCCAAGGGCATCCAGCGGTAATAATGACAAACACTCAGTATGCTCACTATCACAGTTGTGTATAGGTGTCACGCAACTGGCACCTGCAGTTCACTGGATTGCACCAGCCAAACCATGTAGCAGTTCAAATTATTGAGACTTTCGTTTGTTCACGCTAGAAGATAGGGACGGCCACGCACAGGAGCAAGACAGTGGGTGGAATACAAACACTTCACCAGGAATGCCCAGCGAACAGATATGTGCAAAGATCCGAAGAGTTTTGATGCAAAGTGCATCTCAATGCTCGCACATAAGCCGGTCATACTGAAGTGATAACATAGCAGATACCACTTTTGCGTCAGTTTCTATTCAGACCGTCCGAATGAGTATCTGGAGGTGTAGGCACCTCGGAATGACTGTTGTAGGTTAGTATTGTCGCTTTCCCAATCCATCTTTCTTTTCGTCACAACAAGGCTCTCAAATCAACTAGGATTTTACGACAGTTAAACGCCAGCTTTGAATACTGATATGGCGTGGATGCTGTTAAGACGTGACTGGTTCCCTCAATACCTAAAACGATGGGGTGAACAATAAACTATATTTTTCTGCTGCCTGTCATCTTATTGAACATCAGTGACTAGCGACCTCGACAAATATTGTAAGATCACGCAACTAGCGATGCTCCCAGTCCTCGTGTCTTCTTTGCATTGACTTGCGTTGAATTACTTTTCACCTTGTGGAACGAAGTTCCAGCCAGTGTAGCCCGCAGGATCGTTGCAGCACTGAAGCCCGACCACCACGTCAAGGTGGCAGCTTTAGGTGCAACCATGCCAGGAAGGCCAAAGGGGAGCAGCCAGACCAAGAGCAGCGAGACCCCGTACTACGAGTAATCGTGCTACGAGGCGGTCTGGGGGTAAAGTCGTACTGTCCTCTGCGACAGGAGTGTGAAGGCAGTAAGGTGTTTCCCCCAGGCGACCAGCATGTCCATATTTATGGAAGCAGCGATGCTGCCTTCCCCCGAGGAAGGACGGGTTAGAAAAGGTCGGCCCCAAAAACCGCACACTCCGATCGCCCAACGGTTGACCGTGACCGCCGGCGCATTATCCAATACGGTCGAAATACTTTTAAAACCAAAGAGCCCGGTGCTGCTCA